ATAGTTGAAGCTTTGTGATCTTGATTCTCCCTCTAATTCTCTTGCTTTCTTTTTGGCTCTTTTTCTCTAGAGAAATTGGTTATTGTGTCCTCTTAGAAACGTTTGAAAAAGGCCCCTTAAAAAGCCTCCAAAAGCCATAGCTTTCAAAACGTAGCTTTCATTTTCTAGAGTCGCGGCTCTCAAAGGTTTGTCTTAGTTCTATTTTTCTGATCTAGTACTTTCACTTCGACAAAGATATTGGCTACATTTTGATTAGAATTGGGTAAAGTAGCAAACATCAAAGTTGTAACCTTGCGTCTTAACTTTCTAATGGTCTAAAAATCTTGTGATTTGGACTTTTGTAGTTGGAGATATACTTGAAAAATTGAAACATATGCATATAGAGCACCAGTGCATTATCTACTCTCTTCACCAATTGAATTTATTTTTGATCCTACTCTTATAAAAACATAAAAATAAATATAAATAGCATAAAACTAACATTATTAACTTAAAATAAACATTTGAACATAAATTAAACTAAACTAATAAAACTAATAAGAACACCTAAATCCGATCCTAAATCTGTTATAACTTAAGACTAATTAGGTATTTAACCTATCATTAAATATATATATTTGATGCACACATCAGCTACCCCTTTACAGCCATTATGGTTGAAAAGTATTGATACTCTTGGCTTGGGGTATTGACAGATTTTGTCCAAAGAGCTTCTATCTCCAAGTATCAGTACCTCAACCATGGGTATTGATACCTTTTAAACAGAGCATCCCTATAACCCTTTCTCCTTTGAAGGTATTGATATCTCCTTCATAGGTATCAATACCTCTTTCAAGATTTCAAAATTTTTCTACAAATGTCATTTCCTATAAGTTTCAAACTTTAAAGTGAAACACGTTAACAAGAATCCCCCACAATATGACCTTTCTTAAAGTCATTAAACCATAAAACAATTACATATCTCATTGTGCCAAAGTTAAATAAAAATTCATATCAAAATTTTCAATTCAAACCTAAATAACATTTTATTCTAGTAGAACATGCTTAAAAAGTACAAAGATAAGTTTGAGGGATTTCCAATCCAAGGGATAATGCCATTCCCTTTACTATCTAGGGCATTACTAGGGTAGTTAACCTTAAGGATATACATAGTCCAATGCATATAACCACTGATATCAATACTAGTCATGTGTTATCCTCCACCACGCATAGGTAGCACCATTTCCCTTTTTGCTAGCTAAGGTAGCTACATTGTGTACATTGGCTAGTGAATACTGTCGCTAGTTGTAAGTCCTCAACTTAAGAATTTTACCTAAAACATTTTCTCATTTAAGCCATTGTGAAATCCTTTTACCTTTTTAAAAGAGAGAAGGAAGACTAAGTTAAATAGAGTTTGATAAGTCTTCATGTCTAATTTATGTGTGTGATGCTTAGTTATGGTTTTGTTGAATATTATGTACTAGTTATTATGGATATTCAATATATCTTGCTTAGCTATTGTGGATATTGTATATCTTGTTTAGCTACAGTGAATGTCATAAATATTTTTTCGCTAATCGTTAAAGAAAACAAGATGCATTATCTAAGGGGGAGCAACTCATTATGCATAAAGATTTGAAGTATTTATATTGAAAATAGACATTACACTCTTGATCTAGGAGTGTTTTGTTATCATCAAAAATAAAAGAGAGAGAATGTTGACTCCATGTGTTTTTTGTAATAACAAAATATTCCCATTCATTGGTGTCTAATTATATTATTTTAGTGTGCAAGAGAAAGTTTAAATATTTGAAAGCAAGTCAAGATGCTTATTCAGTTGCAA